GTTCCAGCAATCAACTATCGGTGCCGATTAATCGGCAAAACCGATACATCGGTCGACCTCTAATTGTGGGTGTGTCAGTGGGGTTGTGGGCGTGTACATCAAATTAAACTAAAGGCCATCGATCAGGGTGTGTACATGGGCGTGTGTGTGATTGTGGGTGTGTCAGTGGGTGTGTACATGGGTGTGTCTGGTGTTATTGTGGGTGTACATGGGCGGTTGTGGTTGTGGGCGTGTCAGTGGGTGTACATGGGCGTGTCTGGTGTGATTGTGGGCGTGTACATGGGCGGTTGTGGGCGTGTCATTGGGTGTGGTTGCGGGCGTGTCTGGGTGTGATTGTGGGCGTGTCTAAGACTGAGACTGTCTTCTACCAGTGGTCAGTGATAAACTCCCCTGTCTGTGTGTGTGTCAGGGTTTGGGGGAGATGCCTCAGGACGCTCCGTCGGCGCGGGGCAGGCGCTCTCTCCCAGGCAGTGGGCTGGTGCGCACCTCGTCCCTCACGCGTGAGCCTCTGAGCGGCAGCAGGGATTGTGGGCAGGCGGTGAGTAAAGCAGCCGTGCACAGCCTGGCGGACCGGAGCGAATACATCAAACAGATGAAGACGCTGCTCAACTCCAAAGACTTCAGGGAGAGAATCAAGGCCATCGATCAGCTGGTGTGCGACTGCGAGGAGAACCCGGCTCTGGTCATCGGCAGCCTGTTCCCGGTAATCCTGGTCATCCTGCTGATGATGATGATGATGATGATGGTGGTGATGATGATGCTGGTGGTGATGATGATGATTATGGTGATTGTGATGATGGTGATGGTGGTGATTGTGATGATGCTGATGGTGGTAGTGATGATGCTGGTGATGGTGATGAGCTCTGAAGGCTCGTCTGCAGGAGTCCAACAGTAAGGTGAGCCTGCGGGCTCTGGAGTCTCTTCAGCCCATCATCGCTCTGCTCAGAGACAGTCTGGCTCCAGTGCTCAACATCCTGATCCCCGCCGTCGTGGACAATCACCTCAACTCCAAGAACAGCAGCATCTCCACGGCGGCGCTGGGAGCCGTTCAGGCTCTGATGCACAACATCGGTGCGTTGAGTTTGGCTCTGACTGATTTGAGCTGATCTTCAGTGCGTTTGACTCTGACTCTGTGTTTCAGACAACAGCCTCCTGCTGCAGCCCTTCTGCTCCAAAGCCCAGTATCTGAGCGGGAAAGCCAAGCTGGACCTCATCGAGAGAGTCGCAGGTCAGTCCAGACCAGGGCTTCTGCTGGTCTTTATTCACCCTTCCACAAAATAAAGCCTTAAAAACTCTTAAATCAGAGCAGAAAGTCTGAAATGTCTGGCATTAAATGTTACATCACTGCACTGTATTTCTGTCTTGTTTTTCTGTACAAATATCTAAACATCCTTAAATCAAGATACATTTACTGGAGATGCAAAATGAAGATACAAGTCTTGTTTTCTAAGAAATTGAACAAAATGAAGTGAGTTTGATTAAAAAAAGAACAAATATCTGTCAGTGGGGAATGAAAACATGTTTTCCCTTTGAATTAAGTTGAGTTTTCTGTAGGGCTGTGCAATTAATCGAAATAAAACTCAAATCAAGATTCGGCTTTAGTGTGATTATGAAATGGCAAAGGCTGTGATTTTGAATTAAATATATGCGTAGTGTGCACCTTCTGTCAAGAAATTACTTTCACAGATTTTTATCATAATAAAATACTATTATATAATAAAACCTTAGACCTTTTTAATGAGTTATAGCCATAGGCCTCCTGCATGTTAACGGTTCACCCTGCAGTATTATTATTATTATTATTGTAAAATTATTAAAATATACAAATTATTATTATATTTATTTTTTTATCTTTAATTGATTTTTTTTTATCTTTAATAATTATTATTATTCATGTTGATGTCTAAGCACAAATTGTGCAGTTCTACAAACAAGCACAACAAACCTGGAGTTATCTTCTTTTTTTTAAATCACAATTTTTACCAGAAAAATTAGAAATGTAGATTTAGAAAATTAGATTTTTTTCCCCCCAAATCATGCAGCCCTACCCCACTGACAGATACAGCATGTGTTTATATTTTAATCATAAACTGACTTCATTTTGATCAATTTCTCAGAAAACAAGACTTCATATGTTCTGTCATTCCTTTTTGTTATTTGTATTTAAATATTTCAGTTTCAGTTTCTTTCCTTGGTCTTAAAAAGCTCTTGTATGTATCTTCACCAGACCCCAGTAATAGGCGTGTGTGGAGCTGAAAGCGTGATGTTTATGTTGTTTCTCAGAGCTGGTGACGGAGCTGTACCCGCGCAGACCGCAGCTGGTGGAGCAGAAGGTTCTCCCGCTCTTCTGGACGCTGCTCCGCTCCTCCTGTAACGGAGGAAACGTCCGGATGGCCACAGCGAAGCTTGCCGAGGCGCTGCACGCACACATGGGCCAGACGCTGCTGGAGAACGCCGCCGCTTCACAGCCTGCAAACGTGCAGAGCGACCTGAACCAGCTCCTGAGAGCCGCTCAATCCTCCTGGACACAGACCCACAGTGCCTGACTGACCATCTCTAACACACGGGTCAATAAACACTCTCTCTCTGTCTGACCATCTGACGCTTTGCACTTTCATGGAGATTCCACACTTTAAATGCACAATCACTCCGATGTTGTTTTGTACTGTGTGCTCTGATCATTTATACCAGACACGTGTGTGTGTGTGTCTGTCTGTCTGTCTGTGTGTGTGTGTGTGTGTGTGTGTGTGTGTGTGTGAGTGTGT